GGGAAGTTTTCATTTTACTTTTCGATCTGTATGAAATTTATGGCCATCTTGACTCAATCTACAGATATAAAGCAATTCTTCATACTCATATTCAACTATTATGTATTAAATAAGAATTTCTTATCCCACTAGAAAGACATTTTTAAACATATTTTATATAAACCATAACTCATATCATGGTAAATCAGATTCAGTGGTGAACTTAAATATATTACAGCATTTTTTGTTCTTTAGAATTAGAATTGACATTTTCTTAAATCTTAAAATCCAAAGGGCCGTGAACCCTGAGGTCCATCTTTCATGCAGTCGTTGAAAAGTAGAATCAGCTGTCACATAGGTGTCCGTGAGAACCTGAGAGAATTCCTGCCACCCATTCTCCATGGTGACATTCAACTACAAAAACAACTTCAATTAATCTTGAACCTTGAGAAAGTTTAACTGAGCAGAAGTTGATGTTCATCACCCACAAACCAGAGAGTACCCCTAAAAGAAAGAATGATAATGAACAGTAAATGGTTTTTAAAAAAGAAAAAAAAACTTGGAATAGAGTCACAAAGGTGACATCAGTAGAGATGGATGCAATTCCTAAACTAAATAAAAAATTTTTTGAATGTATCTTTTGAATCAGTCCCTGAAAACTTTTATATGAATCATATTTTTAAAACATCAAAAATAGTCGTATGCAGGACAAGATGGTGCTCTAACACGTATTCTCTTGCTAATTCTGAGCACATGTCTTCTTTCTTCATCTCCATCTCAGGGCTTAACTTCTCACCTGGACTTTTCCCGGCTCCCACAGCATCTAGCCCGCAGTAACCCCACCCTGGGTCTGTTTCTGCAGTCCGCCCACTCTCTTCCCCACAGCATGTCTGTTTTCTCCTTAGCATTTGGCATCAAACCTAGCTTACAGGAGGAGGGGAAGGCTGGGGCGTGGTTAAGCACCCACGCTCTGAAGGCAGCCAACTGGGCAGTAGTTTCCACATGCATCGCAACAAGCTATTGGCAAACCTCTGCCTACCTGGTGAGGTCGCTGTGAGGGTTGGCGGTTTCTGGTACCTGATGGATGTTGTGATTACAGGCTCTCAACAGGTGTTTGTCAGTGGGATGAATTCATCACTCTCACTGGTCTGGTGTGCACTTGGGCCTCATAACATCTTTGTTCCTTGTGACTCACAAGAAGAGGAGAATAAGACTGGCACAATTTCCACGTCCAGGTCTACTTATTAGGTCCATTGCTTTCCATGTCTCCTTATTTAAATAAACTCAAAGCACCCACCTACTCTAACTTCAGCATGCTGCTCTCTGCTGCTTTTGTGACCTGATTCTCCCTTGGTAGATGTGTCTGGCTCACTTCACTGTCCTGCTTTCTCCAGCCCTCTTGTCCTTTGTAACATCATATGGATCATATCCATGATCCACAGTTAGATACTGTGACCTCCTGCTTTCTCGTCCTCTCAAGGCTGAAACGAACCATCTCTGCTGCATGCTGGCCACACAGTAAATGCCTTCTGCCCTAGACCTCATCATGGCAAAGGCACAGTGGCCATTGCAGACTCTCTTGCTTCCCTCACTCCTTGTCCTCAACCCAGTGGTTCTTATAGGATGGAACCTGAGCAGCCAAAGCAGCACCAACATCACCCAGGAACTTGTTAGACATACAGATCCTTGGGTCTCATGCTGCACTTACTGGGTCAGAAATGCAGGGGGAGCCAGTGATCTGGGGGAAGGGGGACTGTGATGCTTACTAAAGCTCGAGGACTGTTGCCTCAACCCATCTCATCTCTTCTGTTTTCTCCCTTCTTCCTGTTGGCATTTTACTAATTCTTATAGGAAGCATCTTATGATTGGGCGCCATTTTGAAAGCCAGTATCTTAGAGAACTTTAGGAGGTAGAACATCAAACTAATTTCTAATACTCAATGAGAGCTGTCTCATTCATGATAGCAAGTGATGGTGATAAGCTAAATTGAAGAAAATACAAATAATCCATTTTAATTGGGAGGGTTAGATTCATCCTGTAAGGAGATGGGGACAGTTTTTTAAAATAATGTGAATTTTTAAATACTGGTAAAGTTGCTGATACACAGTACTAGTAAACAGTGAAAGGACGTGGAGGGCCTAAGTAGCCTTCACGTTATTCACACCTACAGTTACGAAGCATTAGAAATTCCCAGCTAATTCCTGAGCTTGATGATGGGTATACAGAGACTATTACAAGAATGTTTCTACTGTGTGTGCACACGTGTGTGTTCAACGATGTCATTAAAAAGATTATCAAATAGTACTTAAAAGTGCCAGTATCATTCTACCTCCATATTATGACTCCAGGTCAAATATTTTCACTTTTGTCACTACCCATCTTAGTCATAAATGATAGTAATGAACTTATTATATCTATTGAATAGTTTTCTTTTGTTTCTACTAGATAAGTATATGTGTGGGTGTATATATATGTGTGTATATATATATGAGTGTGTGTGTATATGTGTAAGTATGTATAGATGACTGGATAAACATAGATAAAATGCTTACCAATGTTAATATTGGAGAAATTACCAAAAGCTATGTAGATGGTGTGTACCTTGCTACTGTAGATTAGAAAACCCTTTAAAAAAATAATTTTACAAGATCCATTAAACATTAGAATATTAATACACATATATTTAATTTATGAGAATTTATTCTAAAGGGAAAGAAATTCTAATTTCAGAAAAATATTATATATAAGAAGATGGTCCTTGTTGCATTTTTTTTCATAATAGCATAATAGCATAAAACTATATATAGCTTTTTGCAACTATATGCAAAAAACTGTAAGCATAAAGCAATATTGCTTACAATACCAGGGAAAAATGCAATACACAAAATTTGGTACCTAGAAGGATTACGACCATGGGAAAATATGTTTCTGTTGGCTAGAGTGGCAATAGGATTGGTATCTTATATCTTCTCTCATTTGTATCTTTTCAAAGGAAATGTATATTTAGCAGTTAGGACACTAAGACTTTTTCTTGGAATTCCCAAAACTTTTTCTTCCCCAAAGTGATTTGGGCCTGTGTGACTCAGCAAAGGGAGCTCCACCAGTAGGGAGCTCAGTTTTTCGAGCATTGATATGTCCCAAGAGGAGTGAGCAGCACTGCTTCTCTATCACCAGCAAAGCCTCTAGCCCGAGCCAGCTGCCTTCATGAAACCAAGATTTGTAGAGAGTTTTGAGTAATCCAACTGCAGTGGCATCTGTTCCCCACCCCGATATTGCTTCGACAGCATTTTTAACTGTTAAAGTGTACGGCGATCATTTGATTGCATCTCATCCCCAAAAAGCAGAGCTTGGCAATAGCGCCGAGACCTCCTTCCCTTCTAGTCATCTTAATCAGGACTTTCATTATGCTTGGAACATCAAGAATCAAAGTGGTTTCCTAGAGATGTATTAACGTGAAAGGCAGCTGCATCATTATGAAGCAGAACTCCTTCCCACAGCATCAGTTCGAACATGTTAAATAATAGCATGGCAAGAGGACTGCGGGCCATATATGATGGGATGGTGGTGCATTATGACAAAGCCCTTCCCATCCCGGAGACTCCCAGTTCAGCCGTGGAAGCTGTTTATAGCACTGGCTTACTTAGTCTGCTTTGCCTACTTTTCTTATTAATGAGTAGAAATCATATTGCTGATCCCAGTTATAACTTCTGCCACCATTTGGAGCATTAAAAAGTCTGAATTCGTTTCATCTCATGGTCTTCTATTCAGTTCCAAAAAAAAAAAAAAGTCTGAATTAAAAGAAAAAAAACCAACAGTCTTCAAATGCCAGTGCTTGCCTGCTTCAGATGATTGTTTTGGTATGCATTATATTTTTACCATTTACAGAAGATTCAGGGCAAATACCGTATGTCCTTGAATCCTGTGCTATTTAAAGCCTGATGGTGTGTAACTTTCTCTATTGAACATACATTCACTGAGCCAGTTCTCATTGGCGTAGGGGGAGAGAAATCCTGTGTGCTGTGTGTGTGTGTAGATAGATCCAGATATCATTGATATGTAGAATCAAATCTGTGGGTGGAACATAGCAAACGTAAAGTATTATTTACCCAAGATTCACCTTGGAGTCACCTCAACTGTTTGATTTCCACAAGTAAGTCATCTTTCTTCTGGTTTAAGCCAGGTAATTGCTCTGCTGGTTTCTGTGTTTCTGACTGGGCATAACTTAGTCTTTCATCTGGATGTTTATTCATCTTACTGGAACAGCTTTCAGTCCTCTTTAAAAATTAATTCGACTTTAATGTCTAGTTATCTAAGACTCCCGTGGGCTAGGATGAAATCACACTGGGGGAATTTTGATGTGACAAATGGCCGTTGTGCAGGAGCCTTTGATCCACCACTGTGGTGTTAACTAGCTACCCCTTGTTTTGTGGAGCTTTAAAGGGGATCAAAGTCTGCAGCACACGGTGTGATTGGTAGCCGGGATTCTGGTGCTTTCCACATCCTTGGGCAATGAGAGGCGCCCCCGCCCAACCTTTAGCGCCTGGAGAAATTGGACAAAGGTGAAGGTAAAGAAGGGATGAGGCTTTTCCTAGGACGCTGCTGCTTGTTGAGTGGCATGAAGCCCTTTGCTCCTGAAGTAGGAATTCCTGATCCTGGATTTCCAGTCTCTCTGAGGTCTGCTGAATTTTTCCAAATTTTTAAAAAATTATGAGGAAAACTTAATTGTGATTCACTTGTATCTTTTAAAAAATCAATACATAAAAGATGTGATGGATGCCGATTAGAAAGATGGAGAAAACAGGCAAACGGCTGAAGATCATTGGAAGTTATTGCCCTGATGCTTAGACAGACAGTTCTCTAAAGATAAGATAAAATGTCTTAAATGCTAAAGAACAGATGTCGGCTTTAGATACTGACCTCGATAAAGACTGTTTAAAAGCACCTAGATGCAGCAGGCAGTAAATCTCACTCTTTTCTGGAAGGCAGACATTGTCTAACTCTGCAATCTCTTCTTCTGACAGATGGGGAGCTCTCCATATCAAATGAGGATGACTCCTTGGAAAACGGCCAGTCCCTGAGTTCCAGTCAGCTGTCTCTGCCTGCTTTGTCCGAAATGGAGCCAGTCCCAATGCCCAGGGACCCCTGCTCGTACGAGGTGCTCCAGCCTTCAGACATTATGGACGGGCCAGGTAATGCCCTTGGCAAGGTTGTAGAGCAGGATGTGGCGCTAGGTCAAAACTTGGCTGAACTTGAGCTTGTACATGTATTAGGGCCCATTCTAAGCAATACAGATCTGGAACTTTGGATAAAACTGATCTCATTGTAGTTTTTCGTACATACTGAATGTTTGTAAAATGGGGAATATTTATACCTCTTGTACCATGGTTTTTAAAACCTTCCTGTATAACCTTATTTTCTTTCAAGAAGAGATTAGCTTGCTTTTACAATATTGATCATTGACAGTGTCATTGTTTTGTCTTTAATACTCATCTCTAATGAGATAAAGCAGAAGAATCCTACGTTTCCATGTGGTACCTACCTAATTTGCCTGTTGGAAATGCCTGGGCATACCCTTTAACATAACAGTTAATGATAGTATCAATTTAGTAGATTGTATCAATTTACTGGATACAGTCAATTAATTTGTCACATAAAACATATATGGTTTATTGGGTAAATGATAGCCTGCTGATGGATGATTTTTGATGCCATCCAACTGTCACCTCCTTCTTTGGCCCAAAGTCATCTGAGTGGCCAATGTTCTTCCTCTCAGGTTTGCATATTGGCCGCCAAAGGCATCCCTCCCCGCAGCTGGTGAGGAGGGGTGTTTGTTGTCAGGAGACAAGTCTAGGGTGGGGAAGGAACCTCAGGGAATATCTGGAGCACCGGTAGATGAGCCCTGTCCTTTTGCCACACCATGGGCAAAATCCATATACCTAGGGGGCCCCCTAGGAGGCTAGGAAGGGTGGGTGGTGTTTCACAGAGTTAATGCCTCTGCTGCACTTGGACTAACCGACAGTCACTGTCCCATCGGTGGCTCCCACACTGGTAATCACAGTGTCCCTTGAGACAGGCAGAAGTTAATGCTCACAGGAATTCTTTGCAGGGCTTTCATGCTCCACAGAACGCTGTCTTCCAGATCACGGGGGAAGACAAGGGCAGAGTGGGAGGAGTCATTTCTGGGCATTCCTGCTGCGGCAGTGCTGGGGTCAGAGGGCAGGCAGCTGAGTCACATTCCCTGTCCCTCCCCACTCCTGGCCCAGGCAGACCTTTCCAAGGGAAGCAGTGAACTTTTTTAAATCGAATTCTTCCTTCTGACCCTGGGATCAGATGGATTGGATGGTCGTAGTGAAATCTGTCATCCCAGGGAAGTCATGGAGTTTTACTCTGTCATGGGCAAAGCCGGGAGCATGGGAAGGAGATGCGTGTGACAGCTCTTTGTGGGAGGCAGCCAGAGGTTCCCCTGCAAGGGAAGAAAGGGTTGGGCCCAAAGCAGAGCAAAGAGAAATGGGGGAATTAAAACAAGAAAACTGTAGTTCTGGTGAGCAAGAGGAAAGGGAGGAAATAAAAGGTGCTGACTTAAGGGGCGGCGCCTGTGGCTCAAAGGAGTAGGGCGCCGGCCCCATATGGCAGAGGTGGTGGGTTCAAACCCAGCCCCAGCCAAAAACTGCAAAAAAAAAAAAAATGCTGACTTAAAGCACACATTGCCTTGTCAGAGTTTGTAAGAGCCGGTGGAGGCAGCGTGGTGTCTGTTAAACTACAAAGTACTGACTTGGGGGCCGCTGCTGAGCCCTGGGCACCCAGAACCCCAAGGAACAGCCACCCAGGCCTCTGTGCAGTGTCAGCCTTTCAGGCTGTCATCAGTCCCTGGTGTCCCAGACCTGCGGGCAGGACACGGGAGGACCCAATGGATCAAACCAGGATGCACTGCTTGTTTGAGTCCACTCTTTCCTCCCCATAGCAAAAGGCCAGCAGGCCCAAGCCAGGGTGCAGGCGTTCAGTCCCAGTTTGCTTTAGAGGGGGCTCTTCCCCATAGATTCCTGTACCTGCCCTCGCACTGCTCACTGCTGTGGCCCACAAATCACATTTCGCAGCATCCATAGGAGTTACACGATAAACGCCGAGTCGGAGATGGTAAAGGAGAAAACATCCTTCTCTCTCTCCCTCTCACTCTTTCCATCTCTCCCTCTCTTCCTCTGCCTCCTTTCTCCATCGAACCTGCTTTATCGGATTTCTGGTGTCCTCACTGTAATCTTCTACACGTATGTGGTGGCCCGAAGCCATCAGCGCTCTGCTGTGTCGCTAACCCACGTCCCTGTCCTGTGTCCCCCGCTGGCCCCGCCTGCACTGCGTTTGTGTAATGTCTCCTGTGTATCATGTGGTTGTCCCCTCAGTGTCTGAAGAGAGTCCCTCTGCCAGTGAGTGTGGAGTCCTCCTGTCCCAAGATCCTTCAGCCAAACCAGTCCTGCTACTACCCCCCAAAAAACCTGCTGCTTTCTCTGGAGACCATGAGGAGACCCCAGTGAAGCAGCTGTCCCTTCTCAAGCAACCCCCGGCCCTGCCTCCCAAACCCACTGCCAGGATTGCCAACCACTTACCAGGTGAGTCGAGATGTCTTCGGGGGCGTGCCGCCCCACCTTCCCTTCAAGGGACTATTTCTTTCTTTCTTAGACTTTCTATCTCAGGCCTTACTGCACCTCTCTGGGGAGGGCACCCTGTGGGGTGTTTGGGTCTTTCTGTGTATGTCTTGGTACCTACAGTCATAACCAGGATTTGTGTTTTTGTGTCAAGAAGCATTTGATATACACCTGCCAGCCATTTGCCTGGACCCTTCAGTTGTGTGTGTGTAAATCTGTACATTGCATTTACGTGACTAATTCAGGATAATTTGCCTATCTAGTTCCTGAAGTCACCATACATAGGGAAAATGGGAAATTGTACCTTAATTTTAAAAATATCTCTATATATTGTCCACCTCTTCATAAAACTTTATAGTGAACAATTTATTTTTGCAGTTTTTGGCCAGGGCTGGGTTTGAACCTGCCACTGCCAGTGTAGAGGGCCAGTGCCCTACTCCGTTGAGCCACAGGCACCACCCATAAGATCTTTTTTTTTTTTTTTTTGGCACCTCCCATGGACCTTTTTTTTGGCTGAGGCCGGGTTTCTCTGGTGTATGTGGCCAGTGCCCTACTCCTTTGAGCCACAGGCACCGCCCATAAGACCTTTTTTTTGGCAGGGGCCAGGTTTGAACCCACCACCTCTGGTGTATGTGGCCAGCTTCCTACTCCTTTGAGCCACAGGCACTGCCTATGTAGTGAACAATTTTTGAATGAAGGCACATTAGCTACTATTTCCCATTTCCCCTATATATGGCAACTTTGGGGACGCCTATAGATTCAGCTTTGACAGTTTTGCAGAGATAATAGTGCCTTCTTCCCTTCCTGAGAAGTTTGTCAAGGCTTGAAATGTTTTGTCTTTAAGTTATTGATCTGAAGCCCAGTATCTTTCTTCTATTAAAATTCATTTCAGTACTGTCTGTTCTTTTTAAAAAGAACAAAAGCAAAAAAAAAAAAAAAAAAAAAAAACCCAAAGTTAATCTGCCAAGCACATGATAAAATACTTTCAGAGGAAGAATAAGCTTAGCAGTGTTGTCCTAAAATGGTTTTTCTATTTTCATTTTGAAGTGTTACTTAATGAATGTATCCACAGTTATTGGATTGGACGTTCAGTGAAATGGCACTTCACTGCACACTGGCACGTGAATTAGATACCATTTTGTGGTTTAAGGCTGTGGTATAATCAGAAATTAAAGGATTTCAGGTTATTTCTCCAATTTTGATTCTAGTCCTTACCCGATAATTTGGTATTTTTATAAATAATACCCAATCAATCTCTATAGCATTTTGCAACATTAACAGGGGGAGGCATAGAGAAGAATATTCACCTATATTATAATAGAAACACTGAGGTCTAAGAAAAATAAGTGGCATTTCCAGGGCTGGTAGGAATTCTGGAATAGAGGCCTGGGCAGACCCCAAGTTCCCAAACTCCTACTTCAGTGAATGTTGTTCTCATGCTACCAGACTGTCTTTCACACAGTACCGAGTCCAGCTTAGGTGTGAGTTTGTGTCAAATTACCCCATGAATGTGTATGTCCATCCAAGTTAGATGTTTGTGGTTTGAGAGAGCAAATTTCTACGCAAAAGAAACATTCGACACATCAATAGCAAGTTAGTTCAGTGCCCGAAATTCAAATTCATGGGTGAAATTGGCCGGGAAGCCAGCCTCCTTCTAAGACATAACAACCATCTGTTTATCTAATAAAAATCAAATATTGCTGTACATACTGTTTTATCACCTGCTTTTTGCAGTTGGTAATATGTTGTGAACTGATTCTCAGGTTAGTAAATATTCCATGACGTGATTTTATTAGCTGCTGAGTGTAGCTCAGGGTTTACTTAACTGACTCCTGGAGGTTTTTTCCATCATCTCTATTGTAAAAGGACAGCAGTGAACCCCCATGAGAGCCTGTGTTTATCTTTACAAGCATCTCTAATTCATGGAGGCAATGCAGGCTTTATCAGTGAGCCCCAGAGCTTAGGGCGCCTGGTATCCACAGGATCCTTTACATTTTGAAAGACTGAAGGTGTTACCTACATTTGCCTCCTCTCTCTGGCTTCCCTCATTCTTTCCCAAGAGAGTAGACTGTGTTATCTATATGCCTTCCCTCTGTATAGCTTGGATCAAATGAATAAAAATATGCCAAAGCTAATATCTTTACGATCCCCATACCTGGTAACCTCTTAAATATGATAGAGACAAGTAGAGAAGTCTGTGCACTGTGAGTCTAGTGCTACCCTTTTGGGTTTAAATTCAATTAGACTTGCTTAATTTTTATAAGTGAGCAATCAGTCATAATGAATCTGCGTCACCGTGAGGCAGCTACATTAACCCTGTTCCGTTACTAATTACTCCAGAGACATCTGGGCCATGTCAGATGGAATTAATAAACTGAGAATTCCAAAACTCTAAACGGAGACCTATGAGTTTTAGTACGTTCTCAGAGTCTGTTGTTTTGTTGACATGTTTGAAAGGAAACACGGGACAATGGAAAGACATGGAGCATGATTAATGGAGAGTGACAGCGGTTAATGGCGTGGTAGAATGCTAGAGGAAATATGAGCCCGCA